GAACGACATTGCCAGAAGCTTAGCTTTGACCGTGTAAATGAGTCTTTCTACTACTCCATTGGATCTATGATCGCCAACCGTACATAGAATTAAATTAATGTTGTTCTTCTCACAGAAGTTTCTAAAATCAAACGAAGTAAAACATGACCCATGGTCGGCTCTAATGGACTTTGGAAATCCGTGAAGATGGCAGTAATCTGTCATGAAGGTTAAAATTGAAGAAGTCGAGGTGTTGTTTACTACCTTCGCAGACGGAAACTTTGAAAAGCGATCAATGCATAACAAAAGGTATTTTGCGTTACACCAACTCCTGTCCAATGGGCCAGCAAGTCTAAATCTACTTCTTCATTTGGTTCGGTCAGATTCGGTAATTTCTCAGTCTTGTTCGTCCCTAGTAACACTTTTAGGTTCTTACCGGCCATTATACACTGAGTGCAATTCTTTCCATGATGGTATATCTCTCTGTATAGGTGTGGCCACCAAATGTTTTCTGCCAAGGCTTTCATCCCAAACTGCCCTGGATGAGTCTCGTGAAGGAGTGACAAGAAAGGTGATCGTAATGCAGCCGGCACTATCAGTTTGTTATCATTGAATAACAGCCCTTCTTTCACATGTATATCCCTCTGGAAGTTCTTTAAGTAGGCTCCGAATTTGTCCAATGGTTTGCCTTCGTGTACCGCCTTCTTTACTTCCTTGAGGATTTTATCTTCGTCCGTCATGAGTTTAATCAGCTTATTCGAACAATGATCTGAGAGTGATAACGGGTTGTCTGGCAATCTGAGATCTCCCTTGTATTTGGCCAACAGTGTCTTGTGTAGGTCTGACATTATGTCGTTATTAAAATTCAAGAAAATTCCTTTCTTTTCTGCCCTGAGGGAAATTTTTAACAAGTTGACCGATGTAATAAATTCTTGTAACTGTTTTTTCTGATCTGAATTTAATGACTGATTGATTAATAATACTGATTGGGCAAGAAAGAATAAAAAAATTTTGTCTGATAAGTAAAAATAATTGAAATCAAATTTTGATAAATTTAAAGGAACACAACCGCTTGTGCAAGACTCTGAACGCGAGTGATTGGAATTACAAATTCTGATAGTGTCGTTTACGTAATTCAGAATATTCGAGAAGAACGACCGTTGGATGCTTTGCGATAAATCTTTCTTTCCACCCATTGGATTATTACAATCCAAGTTACTAATCGTATTTACATCCAATGGATTATACACTTCGTTCTTTTTACAATTGTTCTTTTTACAATCGTTATTTACAGAGAGGTTTTCTACAATCTTTTGTACTGTCGCCACTACAAATTCGCTATCGTAGTGTGATATAGGGAGTGTTTTACCTGAAGGTAGTCTCGACAATAAATCTGTAAATCCCATTTCTTTTCCCGGAATGTGTTTGATCTTAAAATTAAATGGTAACAGTCGATTTACCCAACGGGTTAATCTGCTATGCATAGTTTTGTTGCTCTGGTTTGCATTTAATGCTGATAATAATGCCTTATGGTCCGTCACAATTTCAAATTCGGCACCATACAAGTAATTTTTAAAATGTTCTGTAGCCCAGACTACTCCCAACAATTCAAGTTCGTTTGTAGAATATTTACTTTCGTGGTTGTTTAAAAATCGGGAGGCGAATGCTATTGTTACCCAATTTTCTCCATTCCATTGTTCTAGGGTAGCTCCTAAGCCGTTATGGGAAGCGTCTGTCTTTAGTCTTGACATCCTTTTTATGTCGAAGTGGTTGTTCTCTGTTATCTTCACTATCTGTTGTTTTAGTTCTTCAAATGCTTTAGTATGTTCGTCATTCCATTGGTAGACTGATTTCTTCACAAGAAGTGATCGTAGGGGGGAACTTAGAGCGGACAAATTCGGGACGAATTTCATATACTGATTGATCGATCCAAAGAAAGACCTAAGTTCAGATATGTTTTTGGGGTTTGGTAGGTTTTTAATCGAATCTGACTTTCCCACCAATGGTTTCACGCCCGATTTTGATATCTTGAAACCTAGCCACTCTATTTCTTTTTGGAAGAATGCACATTTCTCCCATTTTACCGCCATATTCTTGTTGTCCAAAATGTTTAAAATGTTTGTTAGTATCGCTTTGTGTTCATTTAAAGAACCTTTCGAAGCTATTAAAATGTCGTCGATATAACAATTGGTTAAAGGAATGTCTTTCAATAAGGAATCCATTACCCTCTGGAATTCGTTTGGCATATCGCCCAATCCGTAAAATCCAGTTAAAAACCTATAGGTTCCAGTGGTTTCGCCCCCCCACGATACTAAAATTACACTGTTTGCTAGTGTCTGTGCATAATTGTAGTTGGCTGTATGCGTTCTTTAGATCTAGATTACTAAACCAAACTTCCCCTGACTCTTTCCTTGACAGTTGAAGAGCAATATTATCGATCAGTTCATGTATGTTTGGCATCTGGTACTTGTTCTTGAATATCTGATTATTTAATAGTTTCGAATCTAATGCCAACTTGATGCTACCGTCTTTTTTTCTTGTAATCACAATTGGGCTTATAAAAACAATCTTCATCGCATTTGTTCAATTTTATGATATGCCCCTCTTTTTCCATTCTATTTAGTTCCGTTTTTACGTTATCGAGTAGATGTAAGGGAACTCTTCTACCTTTGGTTTGGATAGGTTTGAATGGGGAATGGAAATGAGTAACTTTTCTGTCCGATGGTATTTTCCCCACTCTGTTAAATAGCCCTTTGTACCTATGATACAGATTAAGGGTCGTGTCTGAATAATTATTTAACTTACACAACTCTGGGCGTGATATGTTGTTGACGGGTAGTAGAGGCTGTCGTTGGGCTATCTCTATTCCAATTTTCGGGAGATTGTCGTTACCCAGGATGTTCCTCTCATGTCCAGAAGTGATAAAAAATGGGGTTTCGTCCGCGGTCCATCCATTGGATTGTAACCTCACTACCACTTTCCCGATGATGTTGATTGTGTCGTTAGTGAATCCGTAGTATAGTTCCCTAGTTTTCTTCTCAACTGGCTGAATCTTCAACTGTGGATTTCTCAGTTTCAATTCGTGAAGTACATTTTGTTTCAGGAAGCTTACTGGGCTTGCCGAATCCACTGGAATGTTCAAGTTGACTATCGCGTCGTCTCCCAAACCGATGTTGAAAAGTTTCTTGGTTTCCAAACCATTGGTATCGTAGATTGTTCTAATGTTGAGAACGGAATAGTCATCGTTATCACTTATCCCCTCTTCGGTCCAAGCGTTAATCACTCCGCAAAAATTTTCTTCGCTTCTCATCTGAAGATCTTCTGGGGAATATGAACAATTCTGACTATTTACAGCTTCATCTACAATATTTACCGCGGGTTTTCTTCCTTTCGATTTACAAAGTCTTCCAAAATGTCCTTTATATTTACAAATATTACACACGATTTCTTTCGCCGGACACACATTCAGATGACCCTTGGTAAACGCATTCCCGCATTTCATACAAGTATTTGATCTTTCTACGTTCAAGCTTGGTTCCTTTTTTACGTTGTTGAAGTTTTTATACCCTCTCCCACTATTTCCTGTCGTGTTGAAAGATCTAGTCATACTGGTCAGTTTGAGGTGGTTATAGTAGCCTTTTTCGTCAATTATTGCTTGGTTTAGTGCATCCAATGGATTGAGAGTTTCCGAAAGTAGTCTACGTTGTAAGTCGCAGTTTTTCATGTTAAAAATAAATACGTCTCTGATCCACTCCTGTTCTGCATTAATTCCAATTTCACATGATCTCGCCAAATCTGATAACGCGCCCCAAAATTGTTCATAGGATTCTCTATCCTTTTGTTTCCTGCTCAATAGTTTGTATCATTCAAATGTTATGTTGGTTGGTTTGATAAAAGCCAATTCTAGCATTTCGTAAAATTCCTTGAATGAGATTCCTAGGATTTTTACCCTTGGATGTTTCTGGGCGAAAACTCTTTTGCCTTCCGCTCCTAAGGCCAAGTATAGGATTGACCTTACTTTTTTATCGGCCTCATATCACCTCATTCCTCCGAATTTCCTTTTTTCTTCTGCTAGTCTTTTCTCTTCAGCGTGTTCGTAAACTCGCATTGTTTCTTTATTCCTGGCCTCCCTGGCTTTCCTCTGTTGGTCAGTTTCTGACTCCTGGGCACCTTCTAGGATCGGTAACGTCGTCTCCCCTTCCATTGGTTCTTTGAGGTTATCTAAGTCTAGATTTTCCTTCGCGATAATGGCCAAATGGAATTGGTCTATCCAATTGTTCCATTGGGTGGGGGGTTCTACCGTGTGGTTCGGCCAAAAGGCGGGTATTCCCCTCAGGTTCGAATCAGTTGTTGACTGCGCCATAATAAAGAGTTAAGATGTACCACTGGTAACTATTGTATCTAACTAAGGTTAAAAGAGAATAAAAGTATTGGTTGAATTAAAACTGACTGTAATCTAAAAAGAGCAACTAGTGAGTCGAAGTCCACTGGACTTCGTAGAGTTAACATTGACTGGTACGTAATTAGATAATAGAGGTCAAGGTTATAACATACTAAAAAAACTGAATCACAACAAGGGTCAGTTAGAAAAAAAATAGATATCTCAAAACAGTACAAAGGGGGGACCCTCTGGGTCGGCAGGGGTCTCGAAACCCTGAAAAGGAGAAGATGTCCGCCATCCCGCCCCACCCCATAAATCCGCTGGTGGTACAGAAGTAAATTTGGGGTTGGTTCCGATTCAATAAAAATCTTAGAATAATTTTTTAAAACCAGAAGTTACATTTTAATCGCATCATGAGCATATACATCTTAAAAGTTTCAATAATTTCTTCTATGCCGAACTGAACAGTAAGAAGACACTTTTCAATCAGCGGAAAATTGCATCAAGAAGAAATTAAAATAAAATGTTTTCTAAAAACATTGGTATGTTTAGTTTTCATTATTCTCAATATTGTTCAAAAATTAGCTCATCAAACACTTATTATTTTAAAAGTTAAAATTAAGCGAGTGGTATAACATACATGTTGTCTTGTGATTGGTGAGGACCTGTCCCACTGAACGGCGCAGAATGACTCATCGTGTGGGTTGAATCCCTGCGGACAGTAGGCCCTCTGAGTCACTCTCCAGGCTGCATCACTGCACCAAGAGGATTTCGCACACATGCAATCTGCACTTATTTAAGTATTTTGTGGCAGATGGGTCACGCATTAGACAGTTTAAACAGTTATCATAAGTTTTAGCATATTTCCGAATGCCACCAGCGTTTTGTTGTTTGAATAGTTTGTTTGATAGTTTTTATCTTCCTGGAAATTGATTTTAAATTATATTGGGATGTTGTTTGTTTATTTAGCGACCCATCTATCACAATATGTACCTGCATATGGAAAACAAAATGCAACGAAGATGAATATTGGTGAAAATACCGCCCGCAAATAACACATGCCTTGAAACTTTTTTTAGAAGTTGAAATAAATTTTGGAACAAGTGCGCGTTATCAATTCGCTCAGACAAAGAAAAATGACTCTAACTTTTATCCAAAGCGGCGGGGAGGTTAGACTATATTTTTTGTTTCTGAGACTAAGAAAACATTTTTTCAATTTGAGACACCAGATGCGAAGCTTGATTGATATCAATGGGATAAAAGTTTAAGAGGCAATTTTTTTTCAAGACACTATTTCTTTACATCTAAGAAACAAACAGACACTTATATTAGATGGTAATTGTAAAATATGGAGCACGGGTTGAAGTATCGTTGTCAGTCATTTTTAAAATCTCCCATACAATATTTTTTAAAAGTAAAAATTCCAACACACTTTCAAAACAGTTCAAAATGAGAGGCTTCTGGAGAGCACATTGAAAATAGTTTGATCGTAAAAAAATTGATCGATATTTGTCTGAAAATAAGCGGCGGTTAGAGAAGAATTATTGGTCTTTAAAAAATTATAACTAGCTTCTTACCAGCTTGACTGCATGTGTAAGAAGAAGTTGGTCCACACCAAATATTGCTTAAGAAGTTAAATGATATTTTGTTTTTAATTAAGAGTTTGAAAAAGTACGTTCAACGAAAATAATTTTTTGTCTCTTTGAAAAATATAATTTTTTTAACGATTTTAATTTACTATTAAAGGCAGTTTCGTCGACGAAATCACATATCGTCAAAAACTTTTTCGAACAAATTCATGTCTATCTTCGAAATTTGTTTGTTTACATGATAAACTTCGGTGAAAAAATCTAAACGTAGGGGTAAATTATATTTGCTTGAAGGTAATTCTTAATTTAATGAACATCCGAAAAACCCAAAGTTACACCAAAAAAAACACCCAACTTATACTTGCTTTAATAAAAGGAACTTTTTTGAAAGTTTTCTTAAATATTGAAGAAGCCGACGTAAAAACCCTGGCATACGATTGATGAAAAAAAAATACGCAATGAAAAGACTAAGATCTGCTCAAGACTATCCTAAAGCTTTCTTACCTGAGAGATAAAAAAGCTGAAAACTGGAAAAAAAATCAGTCTCAAATCATGTACCTCGGAAGATGTTTCTCGCCCCTTGTAATCAGTTCCCATACTGACAAGAAATGGATTGCAATAAATTTTATACAGATAATGTGGCAGAGACCTTTTTTTTGTCAGCGTTTTCTGATTTTATTTTCCTACGGGTTTGATTAACAAGAAAATTGATCTAAAACAATTTAAATTGCTTTCAACGACTTATTTGTTTAATCTTTTTATACAGATTATGTACAAATTATATTCAAATTTTCTAGACTATCAAACAACAGAGAAATGATGGGAAAAAATGTTAAAACTTACTTTTTAATTGACATTTCTTTCTGATGTTTGGCCTGATAATAAGGTATTGGGATTACTAATCTCTACAATTTCTTCACAAAAATTTTTTTGTATTGGATGTTTTTAATTATACGGTATTTGCTTAACAAAATTGAGCCTAGAAAGTTGATCATATAGATGACAATCGAGAAAATTTTTCATAGTTGTACTTCTCATGGCCGAGAAAACCCTTAGTCTAGCACACTTTGGAAGGGAATCCCTCAAACGCAAAAATTTGCGGTACAAACCTCTCCTCGAGTGACTTTTGCTCTCTGTGGCTCTCCTTGAGATTTTCTTGAGTAGAAAACTTTGCTTAAGCTTCGAAACAAAAAAAAATTATTTCGAATCAATTTTGTTGAGATTTTGGTTATTTTTTACCTTGCAAAAATGTATTTAAATGGATTTAAATCCGTTTCTTAAGCAATACAATTGATTTTGTTTCTGGCGTAAAAATCCGTTTAATCCAATGTAGTTCGGTTTACGTATCTAAATGGGTTATCTCATTTCCATAAAGTACATTATCTGTATAATCTGAGTGCGGCTTGTACATTGATAACTGACGATATGTCAATGATTTGCATTAGCGGGAGACGATAGAGAGACAGAACTTCGACTTCTTGGGTTTGTGTATAGCCACATATAGTAGTTTTTTTGAGGTGATACTGGTACTCAATGATGTGATGTCGATCCAAGTATTTGGAAACAAGCCAATTGCAGACAACGAGGAGATGTAGCCGTACGAGATGAACAGGATGCCAAGCCATAGGAGATTGATTGGTGAAAATGGCTCGATACCTAATCGGGAAGCTTCAGTGGAAGACTGCGCTCAAAGGACCCATATATTCCAGGCGCTGAACGAGCCCCTGAGTCAACTCAATACTCGGCCGACATGGGGGTGTAACCAGGGATCTAAATCACGTGATTAAGTTATACAGACGGAGACTATTAAAATCATTGAAGTTTTGGAGTTTTTATTCCAGTTTTCACGACCTAATTTTAGATTGTCAGAACATCCAATTTTTTTACTACAATTTTACGACTGACTAACTCCAGGCTATCGAAAGTCAATAAGCAAACAATTGCAAACTATTTATAGGCTGATTTGTGACTAATTTCTACACTATACCAACAAAAAACTTGATTTTTCCAGCATTTTTCGCGACGATTAAACCTTGTTCAGACTATAAATCTCGGCCGCAGAAAACATCGTCGAGGCGACCTTCAAATCTTATAACTATTCTTGGAAAGCAGCCCGTGGGATATTTTATACCATGTAGTTTTTTTTGTTTGCTCTCGAAATTCGAAACTTCACCAAAAAGTAAGGGCCTTGTTAGTCTGGAAATTATTCCCGATTGCTTGGCAGTTGGTCGCAGAAGTCTGCAATCAGTCCCGGTAGTGTGAATACAGTTCCTATTGTCTGGTTGTTTTTAGGTTTCCCGTATTACTTTTGCAACACACCATTTTCGCAGTGCTACGTAAAACAGATTTTAAAATTTACAGCGGTTAAAGCGGGCGAGCAGAGAAGAGAAAAAAACATATTTGAAACTTTGGCTTTAAAAGAAAAAACATTTATAATCGCACTAACAACGGTCAACTTTTCTTCGATCGCGAATTTCACGGAAAAAATTTGTACGATTTGTATAGTTAAACTGTGGTCGCTATAGTCAAGACATAAAATCACAACTTCGTTCGGGTTGAAAACTGAATGCGCCAGGTATAAACATAACACATATAATTATTTAAATAAACTGGCACATTGTTGTCATTAATTTTTGAGTGGTCCAATTTTGACTCCATTGATGATCAATACTGACTTTCTGGTAAAATTATCATGCACAGCAGATTGAAGTAAAAAGTCAACCAAGTGTACCGTCACTGATATTAACTAAACTGGATACAGAACAATAACATGAAAAAGATACCAAATACACTAAATCTTTATACAAGAAGGCTACATTAAAAGGAAAAAAAAACAAAGAAAGAGAGAGAGCGAAATGCTGTTCAGTTGTGATAACAAAAAATGTCGAGCTCGTATCAGGTAAGTTAAAATAGAAGCCAGATGCGGATCTAATGTTCTAACTGTCTCCGCAAAAACCTAAAACCTTTCTCGACGCGAAAACTAAATCCCGTTTGTATTAATCAAGTTTGTTAGTCTGGCTAATAAGAGAGCATTTCAACCAGGGTATGAATCAATTTTTAAAACTTTTTCAACAGCTTTGTATCTTTTTTTGTAGTAGTGTTCTTAATTTCTGATTTTTGAAACTCGTTACTTTGTTGGTGCGAAGTAGTATTTTGTTTTTTTAACTATAATTTGACTGCTGATTTTCTCCCATAAATATCTTAAGGGCGTCAATATGGTTAATTTGAGAACAAAAATCACTGCAAAAAACTCTGATTAAAGAAGAATTGTTTTATTTCTCCATATAGTTGATAATACAAGCATCAATTTATTTAATTTATTAAATCAACAAAATGGAGGGGATAGACAAAAGGCGCAGTATGTGCCTACTTGACGTCTACCCGTTGAACAAATTAGGATTGCAATTAAGTAATAATGGTGGAACAAATGTTCGACCTTCTGAAATTCGCGTATTGTAGGCAAAGTAAACAAAGAATTGAGAAAACAAGTTGGATGTTTTTGATTTAGTGATCGTAAGCAAAACTTCATCAAATCGTACACATATAGCTCATGAACTGTCAGTATTTTATTATCAGAAAAGAATTTAGTAATGGTATCAAATTTCCTTTTGAAGCAGATCATGCGAACAATTTTTCGTTGCATATTCAAAATTGGGTTTAAAAAAGAAAAACTCGTGCCGCCGTAGACGAGCAAGCCATATTGTATTATTGGCTTGATATTTGACATATAGTATTTCAGTAGGATGGATCTTGGTACATAATGTCTCATTTTTGATATTACACCACAGTGACGACCTAGTTTTGATTGAACATTCTGTATATGGTGAAAAAGTTTAAGCTTATCATCTACAATGACACCTAGGTATTTGCAAAAAGGTTTCGGCTCAAAAGTAAAATCAAGTATAAACGATTTTTTAAAATTAACCAACCAAAAGCCAAACCCGGAGGTTAATTATTCAAGGTTGATTAGTGATATTTTTTGTTAGTGATAATATCTTTGCGAGCTCCATTTTTGGCTGAAAGGGTCATATTATGATTACAACCTCAATTTGCTTTCTGTTTCTTCAGGGAGATTCAACTGAGTAGGTTATAAATTAGAAAAACTGGCCCTTTACTATAGTAACCAGCAAATTATAGCTCCCGAACTAAAAATTCGATGCATGGGAGGGGGAGTTACTTTTTGTTTCTAGGTTGGATGACTAAAATAAGAATGGGCCGAAAAAACTTTATATTGAAAACTTGATTTTTTTTTACTTTATATATTTATCGCCAAATTGTTTGCAATATCTTTTCGATCAACGAGTCTGAACAAAATCAATTTAACAAAAAATCCTCACTTTGACGTCGGATTTGTGTTTTACTGATTTTTACTTCAAAAAATCTTTCCAAAAAAAACCTAGAAAGCTAGAGTTTTTGACCGATTAAATTGCTCAAAGTCACCGATATTGCAAACAGTTTTGCATTAACTACAAACTTTTTAAAATGTAATTGTAAGCTATATGGCGAAGTTACCTTAAATCAACAAACAATATTGCATAGAAGGTAGTGCAAATGGCAAAAACAAATTGT